CATTTAAAACGAACAGATATTTTCATATCATCCAGAGAATTTCTGCGTTTGTGATGTTTGATGTTGTCTTTGTACTGGTGTTTTTTTTAACTGATTTTTGAATCATTGAATTGTGTTTTTATTTATTTCTCTTCAGCGTTGCAGCTCTTCAGCTTTAATGTTTTTACCCTGTTTTGTTTTTTGGTTGTCAGGTCAGTGGTTTGTGGAGAACACGGGTGAAGACGACTGGTATGGGAACTCGGAGAGCAGCAGTGAGAGCGACGACTTTATATAACATCCTCCAACCATCGTCGTCCTCGGGGTCGTGGTGTCTGTTCTGTGACCTTTGACCTCAGTAATGTTTGAGGCTTCTGCCGTTTCAATGGGAGCAAATTAACTTGAGCACAGAGTCGGGGTTCCAGATTTACTTACACCAGAGTCCAGCTGCAGCGTTTCTCGCCGTCATGTCAGTGACAGGAAGAAAAATTCTGTTTTCACTTTGATTTTTTTGCCCCGTTGTTCTGAAACAGTCATAGCGTTCCCCCCCCCGACCAAGGTTTGTGTTCTCGAGCTGCTGTCACACTTCCTCTAAAGAAATGACACCCGTGCATCCTCCATTAGAGCTCCTGATGTTTTAGGTCATATTGTGAGGAAATACAGACGATCTGAAACTTTCATCCTTCAGCAAACAGATAAAAACAGGAAGTGGTCGTGCTTTCAGGCTGTTGCTGCTGGTGTGACTCAGCGCAGCAGACCGTGAAATGATTGGTTAGGATCTCTATCAAATGTCTGATTTAAGAAAGCTTGAACCACTTTTGCTTTAGTTTTTATGAGCAGTTTAAAAGGTCTTTTCTGTAAATTCATGTTTTTTATCGAGATAATTTCTGACTAAATGTTTGTGCTGACAAAACGTCACAGTAGGACGATTTGCAGGGATAACCAGCACCATGTGCAGAGATCTGTGGATCAACTGTCCCTTTAAATTGGTGAACGAACACTGGGGCTCCAAAATACTTCCTGATTGTCAGTCACATGACGGTGAGATGCTGATAACAGACTCTGGTGTGTGTGTGTGTGTTTGGGTCACAGGGAATATTGTAAGGTAAATGTAATGTATGTAATTAGATTTTTCTTTATTTCAAATTCTCGTCTGTAATTGGTCGCTTCGCCTCCATCGGAGCTTTTTATTGTGCAGCAGCAACAACAGCAAAGTCTTAAATATAAAGTTTACAACAAGAAGTGTACATGTATAAACTGACGGTGAGAATTTAAACTAGTCTAAGTTTTAGAGATTTGAGAGGGAGTTGTTTTACGTTTGAAATGAAAATGTTCCTTTTTAAGCTTAATTTTACAGATGATTAAAATATTCAGTGAGCTGATGGTGCCGGCTGAGATTCGTGCCCCGTACGAGCGGCGCTTGTTCCATTTCAGATTCAGGTCGTGAGATTCTTGTTTGTCGTGTTAAAGGGAGTCTTTACTGTTATTTAGTGCAGGTTGGTTTCATAGTGTTCACCCTGGGCTGAGGAGAAGATCACAGACGAGCAGCTGGAAGATGAAACTTTAACTTTTCTCATCGCAGTCGATTTTAATCAAACACTGGATGTGACTGAAGGGCCAACTTTGATCTGATTCAGGTTTTCACACCAGTTCTGTGTTAACTGTTTATGAATTACACCCATTTCCCCCACAGTGGTCCACTCTGTAGATGATGATGATGATGATGATGATTCATCTGTAAACTGTTTGCATTTCCATTTGTGAAGGCGTCGCGTGATTGTTGACCTTCACAGTTATACCTCTGCCTCCTCCTCGTGTTCTCGGTTTGTTAGATCTTGTGAAGCATGGAAATAACTCTGTGATCATCCACTGTGTTTGTCTCGCAGACACTTTGGTGCTGCTGACCTGCTCAGTGCTTTCCTTCTTTTTAAAGAAAGATCCAGATTGTTGATTTGATCCTAAAGGTTTATTTTTATTTATTTATTTTAGCCTCGCTCGCTTCCTTGATGGAGTAGTTCTGTGTATTTCATCTGCTCATGTTGTCATGGAAGGAGCCGTCTCATGGTGGTTGACTGTGTATGTAAATGGCTGTAATTCCTAAACAGTTAATGCAATACTTGAATCACTGAAAAGGAGGAGCTGGGACGGAGGCGGGTTGCAAAGTGGCTGTCAGTAAAAAAAATTCTGTTTCCTGTAAAAGTACTCAGCATTTAAGAATAGCTTTGTTAATTTTGGAAAGTTTCAAACTAAGACATTTGTAAAAACGACTCAACCCAGAAGATCTGCACTCAGCTTGTTTTACTTTCAGCGAATAAAAACACGTGAGACTGAACTGAGGTGACATGAGAGGAAACTAGGAGGAGAGGTTTAGGAAGGATTCTCGTGTATGAGGCACCAAACAGTAGCTGAAGCACCTGGAAAGCGGCTCCTCTCACTCAGCAATTCCCAGAATGAAATGATCAAAAGGGGGGAAGAGAAAATGCAGAGGAATGAATCACCACCACCTTCTTTTGCCCACCGCAGCGACTCATCGGCCTCCATCTCCTCCTATCCCAGCGTCGCCCTCTGCATGTCCTCCTTCACTACATCCATGAATCTTCTCTGAGGTCTTCCTCTTTTCCTGCTGCCTGG